ATACGTGAGAAATAGAAAAGAATACAAACGGATTCACAGACAAGCAGAAAGAGAATATGTGAGAAATACAGGAATGCAGACAGACAAACGGACAAACAGACAGACGGAGAGAGAAAGGGCGAAGTTCTATATATATTTTTCAGGTGATATGCTGTATTAAATCAAAATTAATTATGCTATTTCATTTAATGAGTATTAGTAATCCCGGCCATGCTGAAATACGATAGAATATTCAATTAGGTGAACTGATGCTCGGGGCTTGCAGATTCACATGTAAAACAAAATGAGTGTTTCTCGTTACGAAGACTGATGCTCTTCCTCTCGCTCTCGAATTTCTCCTTTTTATTAGTATTATTTCGTTATTTATCTCTTTGTTTACTGAAGGGCACAGTACTCGATCGTGCAGGTGTATTGGGAGAGAAATGCACTTTTGGAAATAAGCCTTATTGCAGGCGTTTGTGGCATTATTTTGCATTATTATAATTATTATCATTATTTTTGTGATGGTGACGGTGAGGAATTTCATTTATGATGACGATGATGATGATTTTTTTATTATTATTTTTGTTTCTGATATTATTTTGCTTTAGTAGTATTATCATCATTATCATATATATATTACCGGTGACGAAAATGTAATGATAAAATCTATGTTATGTAAAGGTGATAGCAGTCATATTAACCATGATAGAATAGCAAAACTTGATAATAATTCCCTTCGTTTTTCTATTTGATTGCAAGTCAAATGTAATCCTGTTGGTAGCATTGAACTGGTGCACTAGTTTTCCTATGTTTATATTGATGGTAATGATAGTGATAATGGTAATGATAATGATAATAGTAATGGTAATTATTGAGTTCTTGTTATATGTTATAATGTATTGGTTACATTTATTATTATTATTATTGTTGTTGTTGTTGTTGTTGTCATTATTATTGTTATTATTATTATTGTTGTTGTTGTTGTTATTATTATCATTGTTATCATCATCATTATATCATCATCATCATCATCATCATCATCATCATCTATTCATTCATTCATTTTATTTTTGTCCTAACACTGGACCGATGCCAAAGTGTCTGAACCTTAACTCAACTTAACACTACGTTCGACAAGTGATGTGTAATGTATGTATAACACTTGGCCCCCCTCCCCCCTCTTCACCCCCATACCCCCTCCTCTCCCCCATCCCCCCTCTTCTCCCCTAGTTCCTTTACCATAGGAAAGTGAAAAGAAATGCTGATAAAGACCATAAATAAGCGTGAAGATAAGACAATCAGGGCGAGAAAGGAGAAGGAAAGTGGGGACGGGGGGGGGGGGGGGGCGTTAATGAGTAAAGTATTGATAGTTTGGAGTTTGTAAGAATGAATGAGTAAATGAATGGATGTTTTAGAGAGAGGGATGGTGATGGGGGAGGGGAGATATAGAGAGGGAAGGAAGAAAAAGGGGGGGGGAGGGAAGGCAATGGAGGGGGTTAGGGAGAGGGGAAATGAAGGAAACAGGGAGGGAAAAAGAGAAGATTGGAAGTAGTGAGAGAAGAAGTCAGGCAGACAGACAAACAGACAGACAGACAGACAGAGAAACAGACAGACACAGACGGACAGACAAACAGATGAGGATGGGGGTCACGGTAATAGGCCACAGTAAGGGTGGGGAAGGAGCGTATAATCACTTAATTCGACCCTGTATTTTACGGTTGAGCGTGTGAATAAACTAGGCAAGAGGGCCTGTTATTTATGATATGTGAAAAGGGGGAAGGGGGAAGAGGAGGGGGAGGGGGAGGGGCGAGAGTAGAGGCGAGGCGAGGGGAGGAGGGGGGGGGAGCCGTGTGTGCTCACCATAACAACTCAGAGTCATTGCTGTGTAAACTACCTTCTCCCTCTCCTCCCCTACCCTCCCCTACCCTCCCCTCCCCTCCCCTACCCCCACTCTTACACCCTTTATCCCAAAAGAAAGGAGTGACGCGTAGGTGGTTTATTTGGGTTAATGGTGAGCGAGTAGCAAGGGTTGGGGGGAGGGGGCGGAGAGGAGGAAGGGGGGAGGAGGGGATGATTACCTGCGTGTTGGGGTTGTTTTATATGAACGCATTTCAGGGGATGGTGTTTACGAGGCGGGTGACAGGTTGTAGTGCGTTCGTTAATTCGTGTGATTTGGGTCGAGTTCTCTCTTGTGTTTGTGATGAGGGTTCGTTTAATTTGTGGAAAGGAGAGGGGGGGTGAGTGAGTGGGGGCTTTGGAGAGGAAGTGGGGGTGAGTGGGGGTTCATTTTTCTCTTATTTTATTCGTTTTTTTTTTCTCTTTCGGTTTTGGCCTTTTTTTTTTCTCATTTCTCGCTTTGGCTCTTTCCTCTTTCTTTTTTTCCTCCCTCATCTCTTTTCTTGTTTTCTCTTCTCTTTACTTCTCTTCTCTCACTCTCTCTCTTTCTCACACACACACACACACACACACACACACACACACACTCACACACACACACACACACACACACACACACACACACACACACACACACACACACACACACACACACACACACACACACACACACCACATCCTTCCTTCCCGCTCCCTCTCCCTGTTCCTTCCGACGTAACAGAGTTGTCTCCACACAAGAAGCCAGTGTGACGAGGAAAAAAGGAGGGGGGGGGGCGGAAAGGGAGAGGAGGGGGGGTCGCTGGAAGTGTATTAATGTCCCAAACAGACTCGCCTCGCCGCGCCGTGCTTCCTAATGAGAAATGGCTCTCCGAGACTCTCCTTTCGGATCGGAGGAGGAATAGGAGGAGGAGGAGGAGGAAGAAGTGACAGAAGGAGAAGGAGGAAAAGAAGAGACGAGTGAAGTGGAGGTTGAGGAGGAGAAGAAGAAAGAATAATGATAATAATAATGATGATAATAATAACAGTATTATTAGTAGTAATGATAAAAATCAGAAGAAGAAAAAGAAGAAAGAAAGATTAATAGAAGGATAAGGAGGAGGGCGAAAGACCAGAATACTTAAAATAGTAAGAGGAACAACAATAATAGCATTAATAACAAGATCAACAGGAGGAACAAAAAGAGGAGGAGGAGAGGGGGGGGGGGAAGGCGCCTTAACCCCGAGCTTAAATAGAAGGCTTTAACAAGATTAATGATGTCGGCGTCGTTTCTCGGATGACTAGCTCAGCTATACACCTACGCGCACTCACACACGCACGCACCTATAGACGTGCTCACTCACAAGAGAGCGTTAGGTGATTAGGATGACAAAATGATGACTGTAGATATAATGATGCTATCGGGAATGACGAGAACAGGATTTATGATCACGTTCAAGGACAATTAGATTTTTAGAAATAATGAAAATAGTAACCACCGCCAATAAGATTTATAAGTACGTGCAGAAGTAGGAGAGATAAGAGCAATTAGATAAAGATAAGGGAATGAGATTGTAACATCACCACTAAAGAAACATAGACACAAACAAACAGACAAGCAGCACCAGAGTCGACTCATTCAAGCACCAGAAACAACACACACGCACAAAAATAACAAAAAGAAAGGGAAAACAGGAAAAAAAAACTGCGAAATGATAATATAGCTTCTTGTGCCTCTGGCCCGCAGTGTGTCGCGGCCCGGGAAATGGATGGGTCCGTTTGATGATGGAATAATTGATTACAGGGGCTGACAGGGAAAGCGGGGGTGGGGGTGGGGGTGGGGGCTAGGGGGTCGGGGGGTCTCGAGGGGATGGAGGAGGAGTTAGAGGGAGATGGCGGGGTCCCTGTGGGGAGGGGGGGGGGTTGCTCAGCAGGGGAGAGGTCTCTTGGGGTTTGCAAAGGGGGTGGGGGTCCCTAGCTGAACGCCGTTGGGTGGGAGGGTCGGAAAGGGTTAGTGGGGTGCTAAGGGGTTCTCTGATGGGGCAGAGAGTTCCTAAGGGGATGCCAAGGGTTAGGGCTCTTCAGGGGACACTGGCGCAGGGGTGGCGTGTTGCTGTGGCTATTTTATTCTTTATTATCGCTATATAAAAAGAAAAAAAAAATATATATATATACATATACACACACACACACACACACACACACACACACATATATATATATATATATATATATATATATATATATATATATATATATATATATATATATATATATATATATGTATATATGTATATATGTATATATGTATATATGTATAAATGTATATATAATTGTTATTACATTAGTGTGTGTTCATAATGATAATACTAACACTAATATAAAGATGTTGATGGGGATGATAATGATAATGATAGAAACAATAATGATAATATGAAAGTAATAATAGTAATAGTAATAGTATTTATAATGATGATGATAATAATAGTAATGAAATAATGGTGATAATAGTAACAGTAATTACAATGATAATGATAATAAAATGATAATAATGGTAATAATATTGGTAATAATAGTAATGATAACCCTAATAATAATAATGATAGTAATCTTAGAAACAGTATAATAACGGTGATAATGATAAAGTCATTACCATTATTAATATTATAAATATTATTATCCGCGGCCGCTGATTGGGTTATCCTCGCGGAGCGGTTCAGCGTCCGATGGGGTTAGCGGCGCGGTCTAATGGGTTTCCGTGTTGTGGGCGGGGTCTCTGTGATCAAATTATTCGATATTGTAGCTTTTCAATTCTATAGGCTACGGTCCTTTAGCGTTATAGGTGTTAAAGTTAATAAGGGATGCTGTTAATGTTGTGGATTTAGCAGTGTCGGGTGTTCTGTTGTCATGGTCTTGGTTGGAGATATTTCGTACTACTATTATGAGCGTCGTTATACCTCAGTCACCATACTACATGGTCGTAAAGTAACATCACCACTGTCAGTATACACAGCCACTGTTTGTACCATTCCTGGCCGCCTACGACAATGCTACCTGGTCACAATTTATCACTATATACCATTAACAACAACAACTGCATCATCGCTATACGTTGTTATTTGCTGACGTTATTATTTACCATTTAC